GGGCAAGAGCAGGGTAGTATCTGAGCCTTGCAAAGGCCCTTGTGGGGGGCATTCCCAACCCACTGGGAGAAGCCCATGTCCAGTGTGTCTTCATTCTGCAGGGGGAATGTGTGGGAATCAAATGCAGATATGATGATGAAACTAGCAGAGAAGTCAGAACAGACCCTGGGGGATTTCATAGGAGAGCTGAACACTTGACCTTGAGTGTGAGTGAGACTGCTGGAGAGAGGAGTACTCAGGAGAGGAGAACCAGTTACTCAAGGATCTAAGAAGTTAATATTTTAGGAATAACACCTATGAACAGGAAGGGCATTACTTTAAGGTAGTCACTCATGGGCATGCACACACACACATGCAAATGCACACGTTTTGCCTGACCATTTGAAGGTAAGTTGCAGACATGATTGACATCTCACCCTACATTCTTCAGCTTGTATCTCCTAAGGATAATTCTCTTATACAATCACAGTGCCATCATCATACCCAAGAAATTTAATATTGATACAATATGATCTGAGATACAAGCCATTTTCAAATTTCCTCAATTGTCCCAAACTGCTTTTGATGGAATTTTTTGGATATGTGACCCATCACAGGTCATGTATTGCATTTGATTGTCATGTCTCTTGAGAGTGTTTTACAGAACTATAGAGCACTCTAACACATTAAGGAAGCTGAGCACATCTCTCAATACATGTTTTACAGCTATTTCTACCTGTCTGTAATCACACCTCACCTCTTTCAAGTGGGAAGTTAACAGAATCACAAAATCCTAAAAAAGTCAAAGGACCCGCAACCCTCCAGACTATCATGACCCTATAATCTCCTTACCAGACCTTTCTAAATACTGTGATGGGTGGGGGTGGTTTAGGTGATAGAACAAAACCCCAAGCCTGTAAAAGGAGGGATATGGGCCCCATTTAGCTGTAGAAGTAGCCCCAGGGCCAATTCTTGGCTGAGCTCCCAGATCCTCTAAAATTTCAGGTTTTTCCACGAAGGCTCAATGTCAGGGGCCCAGTACGGAGGAAAAGCACACAGGAACGCACCCACTACCATCGCTCTTACCCCAGCGCTGCAACACAGCCCTTCCTTCATCTGTTCCATGCCCTCCTATCTGACTCCATCTCAAAAAACACCCCCAAACAAGAACCAACCACTGCAAACATCCCCTGGGTCTGCATGTGAAGATGAGCCAAGTGCTCTCGTGTGAGCTGTCACCTACTTGCTTGGGTTCCACTAGAACCGCTCTTCAGAGCTCCTGGCACAATGCTGAGCATACAGGTCTTGGGTAACTGACCCATCCGTTGGACTGAATCAGCCTGGAAGGGACACTCATCTCCAGGACATCCCCGGGTATCACCTAGGCTCTCTTCACCTGGAGCTATTCCCACATCCAGAGCTTTCTAAGGACGGCACAGCAGGCCCCCATATGCGGGATCCTTGGATGACTGAAGATCCTGGGCAGGGGAAGGAAGCTGCTAACCCTCTTCATAAAGAATGAGACATTCAGAAGGAAGCAAAGTTAGCCACTCACCTCAGACCTGGCTTCCAGGAGACCCTGACCCAATTTATCCTCTGGATTCTCTTTGAGGGGAAGAGCAGGGTCCTGAGAGAACAGAGCTGGGAAGGAGAAATGAGTCAAGCGGGGGCTGTTAAGCTATAGCCATCAGGTGCACTGACTTAGCTAAAGCCCACTCCATCACCACCACGGGGTGAGAGAGAGAGAGGAGTCAGGAACCGTTTCCGCAGGTGGCGTAGGGAGCGAACCCCAATATCCGGCACAATCTGATAGAGCAGCAGGGGTTAATTCTGCCACTCAATGTCAAACACTCCAAGTAAAAAGGAAAACCACTGCCATTTCCTTCCTCTGGTCAGCATGCTCGAGACAGTGGGAATAAATGGTTGTGCACGGTGAAGAGGCCGGAGGCATGATTCTGCTGTTCTTCTGGGAAACTGGCCTGACCTCTCTGAGTGTCAGTCTCAAGTGCAAACCCACAGACCCACTGACTAAAAGAGCCAACTGTACCTGTCTCCTGGGGTTTCGGGGCAGGAGTCTCCATGGTGGCACTCGGCAGCGTCCCCCGGAGGTGTGGGCAGCTATGCAGCCTCCTGGGCCCCAGGCCAGGCCCAGAGGAGCGAGTCTTGCTCCTGGGGTTCAGGGACAGAGGCCTGCAGGGGAGCCCAGAGGGGTCGCGCACGCACTCCCGGCTGCACGATCACATTGGCCCTGCGCCCCATGTAGGTCCGGGCCAGGCAGACGCAGCAGAAACACCTCAACCCAGGCTGCGCTCACGCCCCATCATCACTGTTCCCCACGCAGCCCGTCACACTCCTCCCCGACACCACGCGCAGGGCCAGGCAGGCCTGGGGCTCAGCCACCCAAAGCCAGCGGACGCGGAGCGCGGCCGACAAACAGGCCCCCGGGGCGGACTGATAGACCAACCGACCGATAGATACGCTAGCTAGCCGACCGAACTCCCACAAAAGGACAGCTACCACCACAAAGGAACAGCCGGGTGGCCGCCGCGGAAAAGTGCGTCTGCGCGGACTGGACGTGAACTACAACTCCCGGGAGCCTTTGCGCCGGACAGGCAGCGTACTCCGTTTCCCAGAGGGCGTCTGGGCCCCACAGGGGCACTGTGGTCCTTATCCTGACGAGCGTGTAGCACAGGCTTCTGGGAAATGAAGTTTTGGGGCCAGAAACCAAGCGTTCTGACCCC